AGTATATCCACTTTACAATAAGCATCTACCATAGATATGTATGTTAAAGTCATGTGACTTACGCTTTGGAAGTTATACATGATTAAAAATGTCACGCCTTTGGGAGGTGCCACGCCCCCTTGCCAGATCTCATTATTTTATACCCTAGGTTAAAGCCCCATAAAAATCCATTGAGTAGTTCCGGAGATTAGTGAGTTCAAACAGACAAACAATCTACAGTTTTATTATAGTTTAGATTATTATTATTGGTTTATAAAACATATTCTGACAAACATATTCTGAGCGTTCAGAATATATGAGTCTGAAAGGAGTCCTAGGTGGGTAAGAAATATGAGCTTCAAAAACAAAAAATGTGTGACTCTTATATGAATATTTTAGGAGTTATAAATGATCCAAGTTTGGAGCCAGCACTTTGTGACTATATAAAAACAATAAAGATTCGAAATTTATATCTAAACTTGTTTATACAGAAATTGAAAATATTTAGAAAACAAAAAATATACAAAATTTAGTTGCAGCTGCTGCTATTAAATGTATGTTGGAATGTTTATATGAACTGAGGTATGTATACATTAGGCTGGGTCGATTTTGTATGGGGGAAAATAAAAGTCGTTTGACCGCATTGCAATAGTAATATTATGATGTCTTAGGTCTTAGCCAATTGTTATTGGCCACGAAAGATTAATTTAAAACTTATCTTTAGCCCGCGCAATTGCATCAAAGTATACGAATTTTGAAAATGAAACTTTGGCTGGTAATATCTATGGAATGCGTTAATTTTTATAAACAGGACGATATATCAAATTAAGGGTTATTAAATTTAGTACCTCACGTTCATTTATCATTTTTCAATAAGTCTTAAATTTTAAGATATTAAGATAAAACTTACAAAAACTATAATTTTCCCGTATAGATTTTCAATTCTTCATTACTTCAGGAACCAAGTGAAAAATACAAAAAAGTGAGACGGGATTTATTTCAAACGTTTTAATGTTTTCGGATGTTTATATAGTATTAAAAGGACCATGGACTTGGTCACGCCGATTTGGTCAGTTTTCAAGATCCTGATGAATGAAATGAAATAGGTATCGTCAAAGAATAGGAATTGTTTGATAAGTTAATAGTAGTTGCATACATTAACATAATACAGTTAGGGTGAGAAACGCCCATTTTAAGTCCATTTATGCAGTCTTGAAAATTGGTGCGGAATAGTTTTTTTAGTCAACGAAGACGCACATTTTTCGCGGTTTCTAAATTTGCCGTTATATAAAAGTAGGAGACGTGAAATAATTGTTTAGATATAGTGCATAAGTATTTTAGTTAATTGCATTATGTGAAAAAAGTCTTTAACATATCCTGGGAAATCCTTTTGAAGACTCTCCAATTGGACGATAGTGCTTCGCATTCAGCTTGAACGAAAAAAGGCGCTCCCTGGAACACTTTTCTGTAATCCGGCTCTTTTATCTAAACGTTTTTTTATACAATTGAAGATACATTTTTTTTAGAAAAAAACTGGAGATCCACTTAAGCTTTTCGATATAACTTTGGTAAATGTTACTCGATCGGCACGTAGTAAGTACCAAATTGAAGGAGAGACTTACTGTTACTGATTTGTAGTAATAATATTATAAAAATAGTTCAGATTATAAACAAATTGTTTTAAATTAAAAAAACGTGTTGAACATTTTTTTTGTAATTTTTCTTTATTTGCAATTTTTATATTGTGCATAAACATAAGTAAACTAATTAGTGTTTCTAGAAGTTGTGCCTATTCAGTGTTTCCATACTCACTTGCATAAACCAAAATTTTTCCACGATGATGCAAAATAATGGCTTTTCTATTAGAGCTACCGAAATTGTTCCTAAATTTGCAAAAATTCGCAAACTATAGCTAATATTAAAACAAGATTAGAATATTTGGAACCAGCGACCTAAATGAACGCCAGCAATAATAATGCTGTTCTTTACACCTTTTGACTATAGGCTAGTGCAATTATCAAGAGAACAATTAAAAATGTATTGAAAAAAGATAACTTTGAGATTAACGATAAGCTAAAGGGCTGCGAAAAATTATATTTGACTTTATCTTTTGCATTAACGGATTCATTATTTAATAATATGCACCAAACCTTTTTGCTGAACCCAGAATTTTTAACAAGAATTGGTCTTATTCGACTAGTGTGCTGTGGGTGACTTGGCGGTCGATGCGCGGGCTCTTAACATTAAAATAAAATACTAATATTTTGCAGGCTTCTTGTTGACTTCATGATACATTATATTTTCACTATTACCAAGGGATTTGAGTAAAATTAGATTTTCGACCCGCCCTAGTATACATACATGTGCATAGTATTTGAAGTTCAATAAGAGTTGAAAAATAAGGCCAATATGGCTCAAAGGACAACATAAAATAAGAGTCCGAATGAAGTTATTTATGAGGACTTAAGACACATTTAAGAGCCTCAAAAAAACTCTGAAACGATTCATATATGAGGCCAAAAGTTGCTTTAAAAAGAGTTCAAAATGAGCCGTTTATGAAGCCAATAAGAGTCCAATAGGAGTCATTTGGAGGCTCATTTTGATGTATGAATTTAAGCTCATATAAGTCGACCTTCGGAGGAAGGAAACCACACTAATTTCGGGCTCTTAAATGAGCTCATTATGAGCGTAAAGGCTCCGAAATGGGACTCCTTAAAGACTAATTTATGACTCCAAATGTATATTTCATTGATATATACATATCTTTCGCTCATAGGGAAAGCACTTATTGAATTTTGTTTTTCGTTTTGCGCATGCATTTTCTTTTTACTTTAAAATTTCAATACTTCACACAAATTAAAAAAATTTTTTTTCTTGATAAGTCAATGCTGAAACCACACGCTTTATTTCCCTTTAAATAAATTTTTCTCTGTCGGCCGCCGTGGTGTAGTGGTAAGCAGTGCGCGCTTCCATTCCGCAACGCCTGGGTTCAAACCCTGGTCAAAGCAACATCGCATAAATATAGAAAAAAGGTTTTTTCTTAATAGCGGTCATCCCTCGGAAGGCAATGGCAAACCTCCGAGTGCATTTCTGCCATGAAAAACAGCTTCTCATCAAAATACAATCGCCGTTCGGAGTCGGCGTAAAACTGTAGGTCCCGCCGCTTTGTGTGACAACATCAACGCGCACGCCACAAATCGGAGGAGAAGCTCGGCCAAACACTAAAATATGTGTAAGCGCCAATCTATTATTATTATTAAATAAACTAGCAAATGGCTGGCTCTCTTCGCGACGCCTTATAAGAACTTTTGCTTTGACCTATTGTAATGTCCACCACTACAACTAGCTTCGAATTAAGAAATCCAAAGTTTGATTCTTTACATTTTTCCAAACAAATGTTCGTCAAAATATACTATCATTATTTCATTCGAACAAATCAAATACAATTTCCTGTTCTCGAAGCAACCCTACACGTAAAAAAAATTCTCGCATGCGATATTTGTATATATCCATACTACAATGGGTAGAAAAAGTACTTTTTCGGTCAAAACAGTAGTACCAACCATGACATTTTTACTGTATATTTGCCGAAGCCGAGAGTTCAAGACTGCTTTACGGAAAGTAGTTACTTCCTTTCCATTTCAACTGCAGACCAAGTAGGATCACTTCGAGGGTGTCTAAAATCCACCATTAAAATCTTGCAACATAACTGTAAGTAGTTTACTTAATTTTTTCCTGCTATCAATTCGATAGGTTAGTAAGTTTTCCTTTTTTTTTGGTGTTAAAAGTGCATCGTAATTCATTGGGCAGGTTAGCGCTCATTTATTAAAAGCGTGCGATTTTTTGAGACACTCAATTTTCCAACTTAGTCTGCCATCACAGGAGATTGGAAATCATTCATTGCTTTAGCAAACAAAAACCAAAAGAAGGTAATACGCTAAAAGCTCATTTATTCTATACGCCTTTTTTTTACTGCTTCCCTCATTGTACTCTTTGTGCACAGATTCACGATAGCAACAAGAGGAAAACTACTGTCCCGTGCCCAAATCACACCGGTCCTCAGTATCAGGCCACATGCTGGCCACGCGGTCTCGTCGTTTTTTCCTAGCTGCCCAAGCTTAGGAAATTGATACACAGCACACCCCCCCGGGCGCTTGGGGGAAAAAAGCCTACATCGTCCATAAAAAAAAAATAAAAAAATAAAAAAAAAATAATATTAATAATTTATGAATTAATTACCAAATTTTTAACATTCCCAAAAGATGCGAAAACTGCATCGATAAGCTCCCCGAAAAGTGCATTTGAAAAAAAAAAAAACAATTCTGATGATATATACGTACATACGTAGAGAGATAAAGTTAAAGCCTGGATATAAAAGAACACTAACCATTACAAAAAAAAAAAAAATAAAAAAATTTAATTAAAATTTGTAGAAACCACGCGGAGTAGGAATTTGGGAATACCTTTATGTAAACTACTGGATATCAAGGAAAAAATCAATTGAAAATTTCGTCAAAAAAATAATTACTAAGTTCAAAAAAAAAAAAAAAAAAATGTACTGAATATAGACTACATGCGGTATCGAAATTCATACAAAACAAAAAAAAAAAACATTTTTTTTATAATCTAAAGTAGTTCCCTTCTGTGGCTTTGCATATGTATCATCATAATCGACCTTAGTGCATTGAAAATTTACACAAAAATTACAATTTAGCTTATAAATTCACCGTAGTGCAAAAGTCACGCGGCCACCCACGTATTGAGAACATACTTTAAGCCGGTAGCTTAAATCCAATCGAACAACACAAACACAAGAAAAAAGAATTTAAACTAAAACAATTAAAACAACAAAAAAGCAAAGAAAAACTGCACGCATAAGTTTTCTTCAAGTCTACATAAACAGGTTAACTCTCCACTGCAACAACCACAAGAAAGGCCTTTCAACGTGAGCTGCAAATCAGTGGGTAAGTTATTATATACACTTTGCTATCAACTTTTCTTTGTTTTATTTTTTGTATACCAGCTTGACATTGGAGCGGATTGAGAAAAGCTTTGCTTAAGATCGTTAAGCACCCGCTCCTGTGTCACCGGCATTTTTCCGCCGGTTTTGTCTTATTTACATTTTGCACTTGTTTTGATTTATCATTTGCCGCGGTCAGCTATGTACATATTTATGTACATGCATGTAAGAACGTAAATGAAATAATATAAATAACATATGATATATAACCATATTTACATATATGGATTAACCTGCATACATGCCGGTAGAAGTTTTTTTTTTTCGTTGATGAACTTAAGTATATAGGCATACATTTAAATTTTGATAGTACTTAACTGAATTAATTTTTCCGGGTGTTATATAAATAACATAATAACCAGCTTTATATTGAAATTTTAAAAATAATTTTACGAACGTGTGAAACTTTTGGTTCAGAGCACCCACACTAACTATTTGCTTAAAAATAAAACATATATTTTTCATGCACTAAAGCACTACGTAAACCATACCTACGAATAATTCCCATAACTTAAATTTTTTATTTCCATAGGACTAATTGTTTTCTTAAGCTTACTCCCTATTGTCTTAGATTAAGTTTGCATTTGTAGAAAATAAATATAATTTTGAAATAAAATACACAGAAAATAATATTCCCCTGAAATTGACTCTGGCTAACATTTGGAACGGATGAGCATGTAAGCGCCATGATTGGCTGAAACTATTTTTTCCGTTTCCTCGCGGTAGGGGAAACTAATATGTTGGTAACGTAACCGGATATGGGGTTTTCAACAAATGGCAGCCAACGAAAACTATGGATGGGTGGGTAGTGAGCTAGCAGATCGACTTCATCTTTGATTTGCTACATATCCGGCAAAGTTGAGAGAGCCCACAATGAGAGTTCTGAAGAGTATTTAATTAATTATAATACTGGTCCCCTATGCGTTTTTACTATTTAATTCTTTTTGTTCACTTATTATTCTGTTTCTAACTTAAAGTTTTTTTTCGTTATAAATTCGGGACTCTATAATAAAATAGTGCCGCAGTGTAAAGAGCAAATAGGATAGTCAAGAACCTCCCCAGCCACTGAAGCTAGCCCAGATAAATGGGTCCCGATCGGCTATCCTAACAGCCCAAATTCTTGCCTTACAAGATACCACCCTGCAATGTTCAATGCGGTTACATATTTTTGGCGCCCAACGTGGGGCAACGCATGTCTGGAATGTTGCAAGTATTACACCTTTCCTAAAATTTTATCAACTCCTAATTGGAATACAAATAGTTCCGACTTGTTTTGTCTTATTATCCGTCGAATTAAATTTCAATGCCATAGATCTGATTAAGTTCTGGTTTAAAATTCAAGCAATTAATGGAGGATTTTTCAGTACCTGGCTCAAAGTAGAGTAGCTGAACCACTTAAAAGATGTTTGGGGTTTCCAACCAGAGTTTGAAGTTCAAATTATAGCAAGATGCATACAAAACAAATCCCTTTAGATTCAGAGTTTTTGTGTTAGTTTTATTTTTGTGATCAATCTAGCTGGATTTTTCTACATTATTGGATCTAATTCCAAAGATGTTTGCCGCTAGAAAACGGATTACACACCTTTGTCTTTTTGGTTAATTTTTGCTGGAAATTTAGCTGTCTGGTAAAGGCTCGGACAACAAACCGCAATTAAAGGAACCATGTTTTGTTTTTCCTTTTAGTTATGTTCTGGTTAAGTAAGATTCAGGAAGACAGATTAATTTAAATCTAACAGCAGTTCAAAGACTGCTTGCCGAATTATAATGCTAATTGTCAACCGTTTGTTGCATCTGTGCTAAAATAAACCCATAACCTAAATTTTTGTTCCACTCTCTCAACTCAGCCGTTAAATTACGTTACCGAACATTAGTTACCTGAAAACCACAAGTGAGGAACCGAAACATTAGCACAAAAAAAAAAAAAAAATGCCGATTACCCGAAGTGCAGAAAACATTCCAGCCCTGTCTGCAGTGGCTAAAGAGTCATGTGACTGTGCCATTTGTCAAGAAACAATGACTGAGATGCAAGACTGTGTAATTACTTTGTGCAACCACGTATATCACCGGGAATGTATAGGAACTTGGCTTGAAAAGCAACACGAATGTCCTTGTTGCAAAAGATTATGTCATGTTAAAGACTGCATACCAATTACCCTCAAGCAGGCTGAGCAAAGCTTTCAAAGTAGACAAGGTACAAATTTTCGAGGGCGCGGGCATAGGCAATTAACTCGCAATAGGCGTCGTAATAACCCTCCCAGCTCCCAGTCGTTAATAGAAGGTGATAATAATCAGCAAGTTGCGCAAAGCCCTCGTTCCTTAAACCTGTCCATGCCAGTAGGTGATTCAGTCGATAGGGATGTAACTAACGTCTCCAATACGCAACGTAACCTAAATAATCAAGTACGCGACTCTGGTGCCGTAGTGGATTCCGATCGAATATCACAAATGGTAGAAGAAAACGTTAGGAAAATTTTAGCTGGGTTAAATCTCGACCAAGATAGGTTACAAACCCAGGCTTACATACGCCAATCTAACGACCCTCGTTACCTTGCTAATAGTAATAATATTAATAACCCGAATTGTTCGAACCTTCGTACGGATAAAGTGATAAATATAATACAGCATTGGAATATAAAATATAATGGATCCTCCAAGGAATTAACTGTAGAAGAATTTCTCTATCGTGTTAGAGCTCTCACAGAGATTCACTTGAACGGAGACTTCAATTTACTATGTAAACATATACCTTTGCTTCTAACCGGAAAGGCCCGCGAATGGTATTGACGCTTTCATAAGCAAAATGAAATTATCGAGTGGCAAGATTTTTGTGCTGCCATACGGTACCAATATAGAGATTATAGGTCCAATTTTGATATCAGGGAACAAATTAGAAGTCGAAAACAAAAGCCCGGTGAGACATTTGAGGACTTTTATGATGATATTTCTTTGATGTGTGACAGGCTATCTTGCCCCCTAGATGAAGAGGAGTTAATAGAAATATTAACCCGAAATTTAAAACCTCAAATTCGCCACGAACTGTTATATGTCAACGTTCGCTCTATTGCACAGTTGAGAAAACTTTGTCAAATGAGAGAAAATCTTTTAGCCGACGAGAATTTTCGACGGACTCCGATTTCCAGGCAGTTAGCAGAGACCAATTTCAGACGAAATATTTCAAGTATCGAGGAAGATGAGATTCCGGAAGGGGATGGGCACTTAGAGTCCGCATTGGAAGTCGCTGCATTACAGCAAGCGAATATTACTAAATGCTGGAACTGCTCCCAAGATGGTCATCATTGGCAAGATTGCCTTGCTGAACGCAGCATATTTTGTTATGGCTGTGGTGAGCCAGGAATGTACAAACCTCAATGCCAAACTTGTGCAGCTCGTCGTTTGGAAAACTTGAAGAGGGGTGCGGTTCGACCACCTCGTACGCACCCAAACTGAACACTGCCAATATAATTCAAAATAACCCAGATCTGTCGATTCGGATTAACAATTCCGAATCGAAAGTAATTGCCCCTTTCACGAGTCACAACGCTACAAGTAACGGTAACGATAATACTTTTACAAGCCACATGTTGCCCTATCATGAAAGACTAAAAAATTATTTAGCAGCTAAGAATAGGATATTTAGTCAGCCACCTACGTTGAAATCCAAAAGAAATACCGCAAGAATACGTAATTATTATAAGAATGTCAAACCGACACGAAAGCTTTTCCTTTCAGCCGTGTTCGAAAATAGGATCGATAATAGATTGTATGCCAAAGTTAAGTTCTTAGACTTTGAGGAGTTAGGCCTACTGGACACCGGTGCCAATGTTTCCTGTGTGGGAACAGATTTGGCGAAAACAGATTTTTCTAAATATTCGCAATTTCATCCCTTAAAGACCTCGGTAAAAACCGCTGACCGGTGAACCACATTCAGTCAGTGGTTATCTTAGCGCAATTGTCGAATACCAAGCCGTAAAAAAAGCTTTGAGAATTTTTGTTATCCCCACTATTACGAATCGGCTAATTTTAGGAATAGACTTTTGGAAAGAATTCGACTTGGCCCCAGGTTTGATTTCTTGCATATCGGCTGGTCAATTCTCTTCGGTTGATACCATCACTAATAGTGGTGTAGACACCGTTGAAATCAGCAAAGATAAATCTGAGAATACTGACGGCAACTTCCCTCTTACAAAACTGCAACAGCATCAATTAGAATGTGTAAAAACTATGTTTCCGAGTTTTGAAACGCAAGGATTAGGTCGCACGCCCTTAATAAAGCATACGATTGACGTGGAGGATGCCAAACCAGTTAAGCAACGGTTCTACCCAGTCAGCCCAAACGTTGAAAAACTGATGTTCGACGAGGTTGACCGAATGCTAGACTTAGGTGTTATTCAAACCTCAAGCAGTCCCTGGAGCTCACCAATGCGACTAGTTGTAAAACCCGGTAAAGTTCGCTTGTGTCTTGATGCTAGACGACTAAATGAGGTAACAAAAAAAGATGCTTATCCCCAGCCAA